TGCAAAAAGTACGAATTTTCTGTCGAACGAATACCAAGAAATTGACGTAATACTTTCCTTTTCAAGGAGGGAATTTTTTATCCTCCCATACATATGATCGTCCTGGTTTCTTTCCCTATTAGATAAGGATAAAATAACCATGGCCACCTTGATCAATATCACAGTGTCGCCTCTTCATAAAAGTGTCTGTCCATCAAAAAGGCATACATATTCTATCACACTTTAGTCAACTTTCATAAAATCATATTTTTGTTATTGCTGTTACACCTTCATGCTGAATAATACAATAAATTCCTTTGATAGGACTTTAATGTATTATCAAATACAAGTACATTTTGTGGCTTATCATGGAAGTGTGTTTTTTCAAAGCAAATCTTACAGCTTTACAAGTAGGTTATTGAAATCTTTTATTAGTTAAATGATATCAGAATGTTGAAATATAATAGAATAATGATATAATACAGTACAATAGAATAATAATAGAATAGAATAATGATAGAATAGAATAGAATAGAATAATATTAGAATAGAATAATGATATGAAAGAATATAATAGAATAATAACAGAATAGAATAGAATAATAACAGAATAGAATAGTATAGAATAGTAATAGAATAGAATTGAATAGAATAATAATATAATAGTATATAACAGAAGAAGAATATAATAGAATAATAATAGAATAGAATAATAGTATAATAGAATAATAATATAATAGATATAATACCAGCTCTTCTTTCACAGATACAAATTAATCTTCCAATGATTTTGGCTCCGCGTCTGAGGACAACGAAGGACGTGGAGCCTAGTCTTTCTGCAGCCTGTTTTGTGTGCCTTCTTCTAAATCGACATGGTCCTCATTTCAAGATTTACTGCAGTTTACATGTCCAAGTAGCAATCATTTGTGTCCATATAACATTTGTGAGAGTGGTGAGTCTTGAAGCTTCTGTGCTCTAGCAAAGACCAAGAAATCCACATACAGCTTTAACATGTAGACATTGAACTGGTTCCTTATTTGATAAATTATTACAAAAGACCTGTTTTGCTAGAACATGTATGGTGGAGGCTTCTTGGCCTTTGCTGGAGTTCTCAAGATGTGTTTTCTAAACTGATGAATAGTTTCATTGTGGATGAATGTTAAAAATCAATTGTAGATTACATTTGCATAATAGATTTTTTTATGCCTTTACATACTGCTTTTCATGTTAATAATGGCCACTGATCTGTCTGTCTGTGTAGTCCTCCATTGAAATATTTTGCATGATTTTATTTTTTCTTTAATAATGTTTGTCTTTCCACTTATTGCTAGTAAGGAGACCCGCTCTTTTTCTCGTTTACTTTTCTGTACTGCAATTACTAGGAGAGCTTCCAAAATTTAAAAATAAAAATTATTTAGAAAGCACTTTATCATACAGAGAAGTATCAGCACTATTAGGAATATCAGAGTCAGTTGCATTTGACTGTGTTCAGAGAATCATAACAATACTGGGCTTAGTTAGCAGGAAATATATCAAACAGCCAATACAGGCAGAAATTGATAATAGAGAAAGAGATTCCATAATACATCAGGTTTTCCTGGAGTGATTAGGGCAGTTGATAGGAGCCACGTTAATATTTAAGGACCAATAACTGCATCAGCATACTTTCTTGGTAGAACTAGGAAACATTTTTTTTTTTTTTTCATATATTCAAGCAGGATTTCCTGATTCAGCCCGTGACAGCAGGGTCTTTATTATCAATCTATGACCTATCTACATAATTTCATTCTTAATGTCTGTATCTATCTGCATGTATTTATTTATCCGTTCTTTTCTCATTGCTTCTTCCCATTTTCCTGTTACTTCTGTTTCTTATAAATAAACTGATATTAAAGAAATATTGAGGAAGTGTTCCTGAACTGCTGATACATATGAAGAAAAAAAATAATAATGAATAGAGTTTTAAAAATTGGCAGTGATATGGACTGAGTCAAGTGATCAACTTACTCAAACAGCAGCTAGAGATCCACAGAGTCATAATATATATGTATATAAATACACATCCACGCATGTGCCCAAGTGAACGCACATGGACCTACATACTTTAGAGAACAAATAAGAGGAACAATGGTGTATCAAAGGATGAGGGTGGGAAGACCTAATTTCGGTGGTGAATCTTAAGTTAGTAATTTGGTGATGGGTATCAGGTTGGTAGTGGTTGAGGGCAATGGGTAAAACTATTAGCCTCTCTAAAAAATGATTAAAGGATTAAAGTAGTTATGAATATCATTATTGCTATCAGTATAACACAAAATTTGCCTTGCTAAAAAAACAAGAATCACTGAAGCCAAGCAAGATATTTTTCCACTGCTCTGAGTGGGTTAAAATTAACAAAGAAAGATGTGTATAGAATGGTCTTTCTAGTGAAACCTATATGAAAAATCAAAACCACTGACTTTGCATTTTAATCTTACATATATTAAATCAAATGGAATTTAAGGGAGATATAAAGAAAATCACCTTCTTTCTTGCATTTTAATAAACAATGTTATAAATCTTCAGGTAGAAGTCTTCACACTCAACTGTACATTTTTTTCTCTAAATATTGATCTATACACTTTTGTATTCAATAGTAAGGTATTATCAGTGGAATAAACAATCTAAAATATTAAGAGAGAAAAAGTATTTCAATGAATGCTGAGCAGAACTAAAGAATTCCTGAATGTATTATTTTAAGAGTAAAATATAAATGAATAAGCAATTATAACAAATAATAAAAACATCCTTAAAATACCAATATACAAACATAATTGCCTGCATTAACATGTTCTGAATACTCAGCATTCTTTTTTGCTGGAATTTTGTAACACATTAACATTAGCAACCATACATAATACATCATCTAAACAAGGTATTATCTATTCACAATGGCAATTCATTGATTGTCACACCTTTCACATCATTCCTCCTGATTTGGAGAGCATTTGTGCAAATCGGTTTGTGATGAAGAGAGAGGTGTCGATGAACCGTTCCACGCAGTTGGAGATGCAGGTTTCAGTGCGGGAATCGAGTTTGCTGCCTGGGGAGCCCACGCATGTCTCCCAGCAAATGTCATTCATCTTGTGTATCTGTAAAGGTAAAAGGTAGATCAGAGATAATTTGGTTTTGTTACATGTATTTGTACTACATAGGGCCTTCTAAGATATTCCAAGCTTAAATGTTTTGTAATGCACTTTAAGAAAAATGTCTACTTTGTTGAAGGTCCCCTACCATATATAATGTATTTGTAACAGAACAAGGGATGACAGTCCATCTTCTCTTACGCAAAATTATTCAGTCTCCTGAGCATACTGGCAGAACATTTGTTTCCCCATGATGTTACAGCCAAATTCGAGAAGCTTGGAAATGAGAAATTCCAAGGCATCACATTACTCGACTGCCTATGTAAATGAAGTGGGAGTATTCAGTGGCATCCAAATTGGATGCTATAGCACTTAGCAGCCTTTGGCAGTACCTAGGAGTACCATGAAACTTAAAAGTGAAGCAAAATGTATGCAACACCATCAAGTCGACAGTAATCACATAAGTGGTTAGAGATTTTATTTAGTTTCAAATTACATGAACTCCATGCACAGTATCTCACCAAAGAAGAAGGAATTCAGTTATTTACTGTTTGCCTTGTCTATTTAATTAACCCACTAACGACGGGTGTCCCACATATGAGACACCCAAAAAAATAAACATTGCCAGGTGTCCTGCCAGTGTGACGCTGTATCGGGACTTCTTGCAGCGGGCCGCGGCCAGCGGGAGGACAGACTCCGTGCAGCTCTGCCCGCTGATTTTGTAGCCGCCTAGAAACTTTTATTTTCGGCTTCAAAATATACCAGCATTAATGGGTTAATTTATCAATGTTCATCATGCCTCTCTTCACGTTGGGATGTATTAGAACTTTAACCAGTAACTCCTGGTGACAAGACATACATGCCATTTTTTTAATGGTCATGTCTCTGGGTGGCATGGATGTTACCAATGATCTAAATGGCTTTGCTTGCAGATGACAAGACATCCATACTATGCAAATAGGGGTGCAGAGATTGTACTTCTTTTGCTCACTGTATTTATTAGCAGATAATGATTCTAACTATAGACATGGTTTAGTTGAAAACTGTGATCACAGAGAACAGTGAAATTCCATGTACTTTCTGGTTGATCCTAGCATGACACCAGAAGACCTTCAGGGCAGTTCAGTACACCAGCTGAAGAGAACATATAGAGACAGAGCACAAGATCTTCTACAGCCATGAGTGAGGAATATGATATCTATTTGTTCAGAGTGTGGAGTGCCTCTTTGTCTTTGTCTGTTTTGTAAATCAGAAAAATAAAAATCATTGAGCTTCAACCAAAATTTCTTTTTGTCCTCCAATACATTACAAAGAGTGTAAACTCAATACAGGGGAGTCTGTATAATAAATATCAGTTTCTTATAATCTTGAAATAGTATATCAAATGGTTAACTCAATGCCTCAATTTAGGGTGTGCTGGGCCTCTGCTTCAGGGAATATGTGTGGCAAACTGAACATGCCTCTGGAGCCTATTTCCAACGTGATATTTCTTTCACCACAGCATGCAAATTATTTATGTGCTAAATATCACCACATTCATACAATATAATAGCAAATCACTTGTATCCAAAACATGATCTCAATGTTTCTGCACATTCTGAGATACAAGACATTCATTTTAGTTACTAGATTAAACCTGTACAATCCTGATTATGCAAATTATGCTATTTAAATAAATTATGCATGTTCAATCCTGTGTAAATGATTGAATGTGGTTCTGCAGAGGGATAAAAACAGGATTTTCAATCATTTTCACAAATCTCATTCTTATGAAACAAGTGATTCCCATACTTCCAGACATTCACAGTGGCAGAATGCCTTATGACATTGTGAGTAGTTGACACAAGGAGCTGATCACATAAACTAAAGTCATGATTACATAAAGGTTCACAGGAGCAG